GACACCTTGGAAATACCCCCCACCGCGGAAAAGTTTGGGGAACCCCCCCCCCCCCCCCCCCCCCCCCCCGCCTCCCACCTTGATAGCTGCAATGACAGACGCGGCGAGAAGGAAACCTGGTGTTATCTCTTCAAGTCCAGCTACTCACACGGCTCCCGTCGTGTGCCTTCAGCGATCTGATAAACGGCAACAATGAACCTTTGAGTCATGCAGACACAAAAGCTTTACATGTGAGATCCTGAGATCAAATTATGCGACGATTCCTTACTGAGATCGAGCGTTGTTGTTGTTGTTGTTGTTGTTGTTGTTCTAGTGTCTCTCACATAAGTATAATGTTCGACAAGTAAGTCAGTGTTCCCTCAGCTCTGGATCTTAATGTTGGTGAAGCATTTCTCCTATAAACATATGTTCCGTCTTTCCCTTAATGAACTTCTCTACAATTTGTTGTAATGAGAAGCCACAAACTCCCATGCACTTTCTTGAGACTTCGACAAATTAAAAGAAAGCACCATACAATTGTAAAGCAGAAGATGAATAAAACATGGTTTAAAATTTCTTACAGATAAAAACCCGCAAAGGACTCCACGTACAACACACTTTTCAGATATTTCTTTTCTAGAAACGTGCAACCATGATTCGTGCGCTATACTTTATTTTATGTATAAAATACAGTGACATTTGTGGCGTAACATAGAAGAAATGAGGGAAAAGGTCAAGGTGATTTTGAACAACAGTTGCAGAGCATTCATCCAACACTTTCATCTGTATTTAACACACACAGACATAGGAATCCCCCAGTGATTATCCTCCTAATAGGCTCGAAGACTGTGAAACCTGAAGTTAAGTAGCAGGCTCTGCTCCCTTTGTTTGCCTTAGCAGGGGTGGTGGACATGTGTGCAGAGGCTGGGACTCTGGGGCCGGGCCCTCTATCCTTCCTGTTCAGTTACCAGAGGCCTCTCACTTATCAGTTCCAGATCTCACAAGAACAGAGAGACAGAGAGACCACTGACAGGAAGGGCTTTTTTTTTCTCCCCCTGTTTCCTTTAGAGAAGTTAGCAGAATGTCTGCACCTTCACATTTCACAGAGAAAAGCAGTTACTCACTAGTGCTTCCACTGAGGATACAAAGAGAGAAAGAGAGAGAGAAAAAAGAGACCAACCATGAAAACCTTTGGATAAAAATTAAACCCATAAGCTGATTTATCATGAGGGAATTGATGCATTTATCAGTAAGAAACATGTAAAAAAAAAAAAATCTTTTCCAATCTCAGGTTCTTAGTCCTTCAAGTTTATGATAAGACATATAATACTAGCAGTATTATATGAATTTATAGCATATGTTTCTATATTGGCTAATCTTTAGATATGCAACTTGAAAAAGACCTAAACAAGAAAAGACACATGGAGGAAAAATAAACAGAGGACCCCTCAAATAATGAAAGACAGAAGAAAATAAAAAGGAAGGATACAAAGAAGAAAAAAACAACAAAGAACACAACGCAGAGAGAAACATACACAAGGAAGTAAAGAAAGGAAAAAGAAGGGAGGGAGGAAGGAAAACATCAGGAAGGAATGGAAACAAATACAAGGAAGCAATGGAGGTAGGATAAATATTAGGGATTGAAGGACAAAAGGAGCAACGTGGAGAGGAAGGACATGAGGTACATGAGAGAAGTAGGGAAGAAAAGATGCTAGGAAAAAAGAAATGAAAAGAAAGATAGGGCATGCATAGTCAGGTAAGGATATCAAAACAATAAAGAATGTAGGCGGAAATGACATAAATTACACACAATGAGAATATAGTCTGGAATTATGAATAGTTTTCCATACTCCTGTTTTTATACATACTGAGACCTGGAAATTACTGAAATGAAATCCCATACCTTTCACTGCTGTGAAACCCTTAACAACAACATAAAGGGGAACAAAAAAAAAGGACTAATCTACTTTACTGCATCCATGCCATCAAACTCGGAAACATTTTTCCCCACAACAAAGGCTCCGGTGCGAGGGGAAGAGTCTGTCACCAGCATCGAGAGAACCGACTGTGAAGCACTCAACGTCACGTCACTGTTTGTGTCACATCCCCAACCGTCTCTCCTGCTACCGCCGTCTATACCCTCGCCTGACATTTCCACAATAAGCACATTGGTTTACCCCACTCAGCTGTGTGGCAGGCAGATGTTTGTCAGGGCACCATATTTCATAGCATTCATGCAGCTCTAATCAAGATTTACCCTTCTGATGCATTCAGTGAGTGTGTGCTCATTCTGGACGTCCTAAATCCTAATCTATGCCTGGGTTGTATCATATGCTGGACAAACCAAATACATACTTACTTCAATAAGTAAATCTCTTTAAAAAAAAAAAAAAAAAAAAAAAAACTGAATAAGCATTGAGCTCCACATTTCACATTGCGGCTTCTTGATTTAAAGGATATTCATAACCCTGCGGGCATGTGTGGAAGCTCGGACTATATGTGGAACACAAGCACTTTGTTACTCGGTGTAACACCCCAGGAGGTCCTGATGAAATCAACATGTTCTGCCAGCAGAGCCCACACCGGCCGCATACGACCTGCAGCTATCACGTGACTAACAAAGAAATGGTGACATGTGGCAGCAAAAACAAAGCTCTTGTTGTTTTAAATTCCTGTGTTGACAGACGACTCTGAAATCGGGTTTTAGCAACAGGCGTGATATTTGATTCCATCTGTAAACTTGTGAACTATTACCAGCAAACCACACCTGATTTTCAGCTATATACTTTGAGAAAACTAAGAATCATCATTTCAGAAAGGGTGGCAAAAAAAAAAAAAAAAAAGCGGCAAAAGTCCAAAGTCTCTTTAGAAATGATCGATGAAGACTTTTTGAATTCTTTAAAAGAAAGTCTGGCCTTTGGTGATGGCTTCAAAACTGTTCACAGCACTTTAGTTTGAACTTTTTTTTTGTACAAAGCTAATCTATTTAAAGATACATTTGATAATGTGTGGAGTAGAGAGAAGCAGGTTGAGAAGTAAAGGAGTGACTAGTGAATACGTAAGAATTTGAGTGTTTGTACTGTACCAAACAACCTGTTTTATACCAATTTCAATCATGTTGGTCTATTAAAAGATCCACACAATAAAACGGTGCAAACAGCCTTCCATTCAATCCACTATCTATACTGGATATCTAGAGGCACATGCCACCTCACTTTTCTGATTCGTTCACATGAATGCTGCGGAAGAAACAGCTACGGTTACAGCGTGGCACTAAACATTGTCCAGTTCCTCTTTATTGGGCATACTTTCACAGATTGACATCCTTTCTCTGTTGCACAAAAAAAGCCATCCGCTAAGGGACACTTTGTGCTGACCCATCCATGGTGGGGATGTACCTTTTTGTAGACAATCAATAATTTAAAGTAATATTCTGTAATCTACTCAGACTGCAGTAATGCATTGGAGCTTATGTGACTTCAATGAATAATATCTACCAGCAGGAGGAGAACGTGAACATATAGGTATGAAATAGTTTGCTTACAAGCAAAAAATGGGTGTGAAACAGGAGTACAAAAAAGTGAGACTAGGCTGAAGACAATCCCTTCAAGCAGCCCTAGAGTTGCTGCAAACATCACAATTGGAAATCAAAAATAAAGATTTAGGATATAGGTAAAACTGAGCATAGCCTGGGAGGGGGGACAGAGGGAGGGAGTGTTGGAACCCGAGTCTGAGTGTAACAAATGTAATGAATGCGCTCAGTTATGATTATATGCATTTGCAATAACACTTGCATATCCTGGATCAAATTTAAAATTTGTGGATCCCTTGCAGCACTAAAAACATAAACAGTATAAGAAAAAAAAAAAAAAACAAGAAAAAAAACACTTACCTGTCTTGTTTCCAATCCTTGATTTTTCACCACAAGGAACCCCCCCACCCATCCACACTGCAGGAGGTGAAACACTCCAGCCCTTCAAGTTTTTTGTTCCTGAGAGAAATCAAGACAAAAAAAAAAAAAAAACATAAATCAGTGTGACATTATTCACTGGTCTCCAGACACTAGATTAGCACATTTGCATATTTCTTTCTGAAAAATCAAGTCCACTCCATGACTTCACTTCTTACACAGGCCTTTGGGTTTTGAGTGGCCACCATTGGATAAGGTCTGTCATGAAGGACGGATCAGAACAGCAGCTGATACGTCACACCATCAGCATGCCATCATAAACATCCAACTTGATTAAGTTCATTATAATGTCACTGTCACAATTCACTCCTACTTGACTTAAACACCTGATAGAACAGACCAGAGCTATGGGAAGGGAGTTTGCTTTAGTCTATTAAAACCATGGAAATCAGCACATTACTCAGACCCGAGGTGAAGACCAAAGGACTATTTCAACGAGTTGGTAATTATTTCACCTCTTTGCTTGGTCCTGACCATCGAATAATTTTTACCCACCTATGGAAGATTTTGTTTCACGACCAACATATTAAATAATATTTTTATAATCTAATCATTTTCTAGTCTTCAATAAATAATATCTATCACCAGGTTGTGTAATCTGTCATATTTCGAAAGAGTCAACTGGAATCCCCCAAAAAAGCAACAAACCATAAAAGGGTGGAAATAGTTGTGCGATGCAAACAAAATTACATTTCATGTGAGTTTTGTTTTGTTTTTTTATGACAATTCATCTCCATCTTCTTTCAGCAAGGATTTACAATGGTAAGCAGTTCTTTGCATGGGTAAAAATAATTTGCAAATGGGTACAAATTAGAAGTAGAAATGGGAACCAAGTGGAGGTAAAAGTTTGGAAAGCACAAAGTGACCAAGAGGCTTTTTAAGCGAATTATTCAGAAGGAATAACGCCACCATAATCAAGCTATGTCAGCACTGGGACAAGTTCAGCAGAAACTTAACGCACACATTTTCGAGTCGAGTTTTGTGCTTCTGTAAAAGTAAAGACAGAAAGCCCTATCGGGATGTTTAGTCATTACTCCAGCTTTACATCTCAATAGAAATGGACAGCATTATGGTCTGTCCAGTAAGCTCTTTTTTTTTTTCTTTTCACAAACATTCAAACCAGCTCCTAAAACAACTTAAACTGTTCTTACCATAATTCATACCACAGACCATTTGAATCTTAACTTTTATGTTTACAAATTACACAGCGGTTTGGCTATGCGAGTAAAGCTAGCCATCTAAGTAGTCTAAAATACTTCTAGCAGCAATAAGGATCCTTTGGATAACTAAAAATAAAACAACAGTGATGGGAAATGAGGATTTGATGACAAGCTTTTCCAAAAGAGAGAAGAAGTTTCAGGAAGTATAGCAAAACTAGCTAAAAACTGTTTAGTGCCTGGCCCCCCATTTGACTTTTGACAATTTCCTGATTTTCTATTTGTTTTAAAGCACTACAACGCATTAAAGGAAAACTTGAGTTCCAGACTCTTTGATAGAGGAAACATAGCAGATTCATATACAAAAAAGAAAAATAAGAAGTTATCAGACTATTGTTGTTTATGCTTCAAAACACGACCCTGACATTTATCTGATTCTTACAGAAAAAAAAAGTGAATCAGAATACATGTTATTAGTTTATGCATTCATAGGTTGGAAACAGTGACAGTTTTTATCTCAAAAATAAAAAACAAATTACAGAACAAATAACAGATTGATAGTATCTGAATTCCTGATCACAGATCAGAGCCAATCAAGGGAAATATGGCCAACTACAATCCTTGCCAAGTCGATTAGTTCATCTTCTACCTGAATTTCCGTCTAAAGTTAAGCATCACAAAGACAACTTCTTGTTAAAGAAAAAAACACATAAACATTAAACGACAACATACAATAACTGTTAGCACTTCAAGAAACAGCACGATACTATTCATGTACCACAATGGACCAGTCAATAGTAAATCCAGCTCCTCTCCTGGGGGAAAAAAGTTCAGGTTGTGCTTTTCAGGTATCAGAACTGTAAGCAGAAACCTTTTAAAAACTCTACTCAGCTTTGGTTCATTTTGGTTTTTCCCTTTCAAGGATTTCAGATTTTATTTCAGCAAAAAAAAAAAAAAAACAAAAGGAAATGAAATATCCTTCTGGTGCTTGCCTTGGCTTTCTGTAGGAGTGTTTTGAAGTGACACTTATTTTGTCCTGTTTGAGTCTCCTTTTCATCAGTCGTCTGCTCTGCGACAAAACAACATGCTATCCATTTGTTTTCCAGAGCCAAGTTTCCTCCGGTTGGGTTGAAATTACAAGGCTAATGTTCCAAATATAACAACTGTCTAAACAACAAGGTGTAGTTTCCCATCGGGTGAGAGAGGGCGGTACCCTTTCGCTTTGTGCTTTCTTTTTAATCCTCTGTCTTTATGACTGCAAGATTTTTCAAGCTGCATTACTCCCCTGCTGGAAGTGGCGTTCTCTGAAAAGAGAAAGCAGAGGAGCGCTGGCGGGCTCAATGGGTCGACGGCGAGGAAGAGGAGGAGGGGGCTGAAGCTGGGTGCCTCCTTTTTAAAGCCAGATTCTCCCCAGATACCTCGGTGCTATTCATCAACAGCTTTTCCAGGTCTGTGAAAAATCAATGTGCTCTGCACTGCAAACAGTTCATAATGACGGGGGATGGAGGGAGGGGAAAAAAAAAAAAAAAAGCCCAACTGCAACAGAATTGATTTGTTTAAGTACAATAACACGGCTCTGCGGCGCGGTGAGAGGGGAGGCTAGAGCGCCCAGACAAAGACTGACTGGCAGTATCAAACCCCAAGCAATAATTGACAAACTGCTGGCAGAGAGCAAATCTGAAAAACAGAGCCCTGTTATCTAATTAAAGGAGTTTTTCTGTAAATTGCCACCTGACAGAGAAAAACCCACTGAGTCGCAAGTGTGTAATTGACCTGCCGGTACACTCTGTGAAACCGTGCTTCACCTGCTTTGTGTCATCTATGCATGAAAGCGTAAGCTCAAAATTGGCAACTGTGTCAGCGTTTGCAAAAAAAAACTACAAGAAGAATTGACGACGGACCCAAGTCGGAGACTTTACGGCTGCAAGTTGATATAATGCACATTTTCCCATCACTTTGCGTTTCTTCCTATTGAAGGGGAGTTTTCCTCTCCGCTGTCTCTACATACAAGCTCAGTATGAGGGATTGCTGCAAAGTCAATGATGCAATGCAGGCGATTGTCCAATGTCACTACATCCTCTTTCTGGAGGCGTGGAAGCTGCAAGTCAATGACTTGATGCAATCTGCTGGGTTTTCTTATATAGAAAACTTCTTAAGCCAAAGATCTGAACTTGACTGCATTTTTTTTATGTCTGGACAGTGCAACTGAGTACAGCAGTGATAACTCTCTCCACATCTATTTGGTTATCCGTATCTGCCATCCACATAGGGCTCTCCTATTTCTTCAGCATTTGGGAGGTGGTATAAATGACTCGTTTTAAATATTTTTGATCTAAAGTGCCTTGAGAGTGTTGTGTGCTTTGTGAAATGGTGCTGCATAAATAAGCTAAACAGAATTCAATCACTCGTTTCCTTTTTCAGTAGGGATGCACCAGGAAATCAGCTGGTGACTGAAAGTAAATGTGCTCGACTTGATCGACTCAGAAGTTTTCCAACAGTCGCTTATTTTAATAGCTGAACACATTGCTTACAAGCACTTTGTATTGCCTTGTTGCTGAAAATGTGCTATATAAATAAAATGACCTTTACCTTTACATCGTCGCTCAAGTTTTTGATTTGTGAAAGGCAGAGGTGTTTTACAGATTATTTTGTGAAAATGCTTTTCATCACTGGGAAATGATGGGTAGACATGTCTTTTATCTAAATCCAAATTGCTGTCTTGTTGTTTTTTTAGTCAATTACTTCATTTAGTGTATTCTTATATAAATAAATCATGTAGTCATGCGAGGCATTTAGACAAAAAGTGTTCCCGCAGTTACTACGCAATGCATTTTGTTCTGTTTTTTTTTTTTAAATCAAGGAAAAAAAATATTTCCGCCAGCTGACTGGCAGTGCGCAGTAACAGTGTGCCAGAAGAAATGTATGAATCTATGCTCCACAGAGCTTCAAAACTCAATCCTGCTCTTGCGTCTCATTAAAGGGACTTTAAACAGCCTCCATTCCAGTAACTGATCCTTGCTTCGTTAAACGTATGTAAAAGTACATATTATTTGTTCATTTACCACTGGAGTCATTACTGCAGAGTCTTAAGTTGGAAATGCTTGAAAGAAAGTCAAGTAAACAAAATGTTTATAAGACAAAATGTTCTTACACGGGGAAAAAGCTGGAAGCCAGGAGTAAATTGTGTCAGGACAAGCCAGCACAATAAAACATTCCTCCCTGCCTCTTTTATGCTGCCCACATAGGTGCATTTATCATTGTTATTATGCCTTCAGAGAGGCCCTCCCAGGTTTAATTGGGTCCTCATGGAGTCAAAATCCCTTCTGTTGCAGCAACCGCCCGAGCTGGACAAGCTCATACCTCTTTAGGCAACAGCAGCATTTACTGGCTGCATGTCGCTCGGTGCAAAGTGGCCCCAAATCCAGCCGCTTGAGCCCAGAGGGGGGGCGGTGAGAAATGGACGTCACCCCGCCAAGCCTGGATAATGGCATGAGAGGGACACCTGGGGAGAAACTCGCACCTGGCTCTGCACTCGGCGCTGCTGGGATCGCTCTTGAGAGCTACAGGGCGTCCGTCATACCCAGCCGGCTCGCAGGAGCCATTACGTCCGGCACGCTGCATATGCATTTTAACAGGCAAATACCGGCAACTTTGGAAGCGTATCGGGGCTTGCAGCACGTGCACAAAATGTGCAGCAGGAGGACGACAGAGAGGTTTTTGTCCACTCAACGAAAACGGTTAACGAAAAGTAACAGAGCTAGAAAAACAAAAACATGCGCAAAGAAAAACATGAACATTGCCTCTGACAGAGAGGTCAGTAATTAAAAAAAAAAAAGCAGAATCAAAAGCACATTAATCATCTCATGAAATTCC